TAAGAACTGACTTTCTGATCGTTCTGGGTAAGTAAGTAAAAGAATTAGTAACCCTGCTTGTAAAATAGTAACCCAATTACGTAATTTCCCCTGATCATTCTGGGTAAGTAAGTAAAAAAAATTGCTAGTAATTAAATTAGTAACCCAGAAAAGGTATGTAAATAAGAATTTCTGACTTTCCTGATCTTTCTGGGTAAGTGAAGTAAAAGAATTAGCAACCCAGCTTGTAATTGAAATAGTAACCCAGTATTAGTATATGAATTTCCAACATTCCTGATCATTCTGGGTCAGTGACACAAAAGGAACTAAAGGAACATATATGCTGCCACTGATGATCATTCCTTATAAAAATGTTAGTTGCCACCATACTAATCCAATAGGACCAAACACTTTTGCATTAAAAAAATTCTGACTCCACCTGAAGCATGCAACATCTGGGTCGGTTTTAGATCGAGTATTTGCCCCAGTGACCATTGTCACTAGAAGAGAAGGTAATGGAATATGCAAAATGTTAGAGTTGTCATCTTTCTATAGTGACATCCATTTTGAAAATATTTCCTCTCACTTACTACTACATCTTCAGGGGAGGAAGCAAGTGAAGGTACTGTAAAACTTTCAAATAGGACACAATCAGCAAAAAATAAACAGAGGTTTTTATCTTTTTCCTACTCTAAAAAAATGGCTACACACATACTTTATTCAAGGGGATCAATAGTGGCAGCCTGCATGTTTCTCTCAACACAGATGCACTTTACCCACTTAAGTCCTCAGTCATTTTAAAACAGTGCCTGGACTCAGCAGCTTCTGTCGGTCCCAATGGGGGTACAGGCTGGAATCTCCAGCTTTCATTGACAGCTGGTATCCAGCACTAAGTCCAGGAGCTTTACATGGGGGGGGATGACATCGGGCCACTCCCATTTAGTACAATGGTGGTGACTGAGCTGTTCAAACCCTGTCCCTCTAACTCCCTGAGGCAGTAGGCTACTGTGCAAGTGGTATAGATTGGTATTAGAAGTGGTCGGCTGCTTGAGCACATCTGAATCCGGTCTCCATTGATCAGATCCAGGCTGTCCATAAAAAATAAATATACAAACTATATATCTATCCATATCCTAAAAAAAAATAAATATATTCCCTCCTCATCTGAAGCCCCAGGTCCCAACAGTGACCTCAGATGATCTAGATGACATTTGAGTCATTTACACAAGCAAATGCAATATAATTTGAAGTTTTAGTGTTTGCAATCCTGTGAAAAAGTCGCCATTGTGTTAATTTGTGCCCTGACCAACTTGACTTAATTTTACACTAATAATTTTATTATAACATACTATACTAGAACTATTTTTCTGCTACATGTCAAAATGCAGTGTTGAAAGGGGAATATAGCTCAGGCACGCAGGCAGGAGGGTGTGCATAGCTGAGAAAACCCTTCCTACCCTCCTGAAGACTCCTGGGACATTTGCCTAGGCCTAGAAACCAGGAAGTAATTGAAATGTAGAAAACAGTTTAAAACAAGTAAATATGATATACTATCCTATCTACAGTATTTACTAATGCTAGCGGCATAAGGACTACAAATAGTCAATGTTGATTGAGAAAGTGAAGTTCCACTTTAAAGTACAACTTAAATGCTCTTATGACAGTCCAAACAGGTACTAAATCCAGTTACCATGTGATGCACAAGCATTAAACAAAAACCTTTACTTCACCTTGCCTGAGTGAGCCAAATCCTCCTTCATTTGTGCCTTACATGCTCTTCCTTCCGGTGGGAAGGTTTTAACAACAGAGGTAGTGCTATAAATGCAGAGGTAGAGGACAAGACTTAATAACTACAGCCCCTGCATCATTTTTTCACCCCACTGAAGTACATTAAGACACAGCCTACATGAAAGTGGCAATGCTGCTCTGAGTTCAGGAGCAGTGCAGCACCGTTGCCACACCATTTGGAAGCTGCATTAGGTGGACTTCACTGGCAGGCCCATCAGGTATTTTTGAAACTTTGAAGGGAAAATAAGAGAAAAATAAGTGCAGATGAACATATGATTAAGTGCTGCAACACATTTTTTAATAAGAGGCCATCATTTTATTCTAACTAAAACACCTCTGTTAACCGCTTCCCAACCGCCCTATAGCAGTACTGCTACAGGGGCAGCAGGGCTGTGCAAAATCACGTTTATACAGTATATCTATATATGAGAGTTTGCATTTCCAGGTAGGGGGCACGCGCCACCCTACCCACGCCACCATTGGTGGCTACAGATGTCGATCACCGGGTCCCAGCCAGAGATTTCCCAGCGATTGCCGAGTATCACTGACAGGGTACGGGGGGGGAGAGAGACCTATATATAAACAACACAGGTCTCTCACCTGCCAGCAGTAACATGCTGCTGTGTATTTCTCTGCATAGCAGAGAAATACACAGCAGTATGTTTCCCTAGTAAAGCACGCACAGGAAAACAGCACAGTTAACCCTTTGATCGCCCCAGATGTTAACCCCTTCCTGCCCAGTGTCATTGCTTTTTATTACACTGATTGTAGTAATCATGCACACAGAGCTGGACGCGGCCCTCCATTTTGTTAAGAATTCTCCATGTTGTCCCATCATCCCCCCTTCCTCTCTGTTCATCCACAGTGACATGTGGCCTGAGTGATAAGAAGTGTCACAGGCGGCCAAAGCACAGCAGAAAGCTCCGAGCTATAAAACCTCACGAGCTGGGTGCCTATCTGTCTAAGAAACTGTGCAATCTGGCGCATTGTAAAAAGTATAAACCGAGTCCCTCACTGAACTTCAAAAGACCTTCCAAAGGGTCGTAAAAACAGACTTACTTTTAAAAACTCACTTTTCATATAAGTTGATATCTTCACGTAGGACATAACTACCTAAACATGGCGCCTATATTCGGAAAGGCTCAGTTTGAGGCCATTCTCCTGGTATGTGACACCCCTTAGCTACCATATATAGAAAAGCAGAAAAGTATATCTCTTGAACCATTCAAGTGCATATTTCATTTTTCATCTCTAACCATTCCGCAGATGTGGCTGAGTATTAATATACTAGTGTCCAGGCCGGCAAATGTACCTTGTAAAAGTTATGAGCCAAAATATAAGCTATGAGAGATTCTGGTTGTAACTTAGGTCTCCACCCAACACCCCTCCCAAAAGAAGACCATTGGTTACTACTCCAAAGAGACCCCCTGCTGGGATTTGCTAGAAAAAGGCTGTTATGCTTGGAGTGTGTGAGAGAGAAAGAAGAGTCTCCTGCGTTTAACAAAACTAGCAGTAGAGACAAGAAATCCTGTTTGAGAATTGAAGCTGCTTAACCTAAGGCTTTTTGGCAAGTACTTATCTACCTAAACCTCTGTTATCTTTTTGCTGTGTTATTGCTCTCTGTATATTTATTTATATATATATATATTGGTTACATCTTTTTTCTGTAAATATTTTTATTGCACCCTTTTGACCTTTTAGTAATAAATCTTCTTTCTGAAAGTGTTGAACTGTTTCTAAAGCTCTTTAATGCAACTTACGAATTCCTGCAGCTGAGGAGCGCTACTATGTGTGTTTAACCCTCTGTATAACCTGTCTGCGGTGACAGTGGTATACAGACTATTATCCAATCATCAAAGTGTTAGTGCTGATATTGCCGAGTTTCCTCTCTGTACAAAAAGCAGGTGGTGGCAGTGTGAAGGGTTAATTGCGTAATTAACCTGACCCAATAACAATCGCGCTCAGGCTGCCAGTACATTGATTTGTGGTCCAGTGAGCTGGAAAATCGTTGTACAAGGTGCAGCTGAGTGTAGCATTGTTATGCACATGACATTAGATTGGCTAGTCCTTCAGTCACGAGTTTGGTGAGAAGGTCAGGGGTCTGACGCCGTGATCAACATACTGATCACTGTATTAGTATCATTGGGATATCAGTGGCAGTTAATCAGTTTCCCCCCCCAGTGTCAGATTGCGTGCTGCAGTCCCGCTATAAGTCGTTGATCGCCGTCATTACTAGTATGAGAAAACAAAAAAATTCTAGTATATATACCGCCATTTGTAGATGCTATAACTTTCACGTAAACCAATTCATTTACACATATTGGGAATTTTTTTTAATAGCAAATGCATGTAGCAGAATACATTTTGGCCTAAATTTATGAAGAAATTAAAATGTTTTTTATTTTACTGAATAGGTTTTATAGAAAAAAGTAAAAAATATTGGTTTTTTTTTTCTCAAAATTGTATTTTTTTGTTTATATCGCAAAAAAACAAACAAACACACAGGTGATCAAATACCACTGAAGGAAAGCTCTATTTGTGTGGGAAAACAAGGACATAAATTTCATTTCTGTGCAGCGTTGCATGACTGCGCAATTGTCAGTGAAAGTAACGCAGTGCCGTATCACAAAAATGGCCTGGTCAGGAAGGGAGGTAAATCCTCTGGAGGGCAGGTGGATGAAGACTGTATTTGACTTAGTTGGCTTGGATAAAAAATAAAAAGTTGGCAAAAACCAAACCCTGTGTGTATTTTCATCAATTCATTATTGCTTTGCCAAAAAAAAAAAAAAAAATTGTGCAGCTCAGGGTACCATCTGCCTGAGCTGAGATGGCTGGTGCAAAATGTGGCCTATGACCTTCACCCCATGATCACTAAACAAGGCATGTGAGTGAAGAGGACCTGATTAGATAGAAAGGTGATGATGAGGATGAAAGCTGTAGCAGAAGGCTCTTCCAGGTGATTGCTGAGCGATTCACGTTGTCTCGTGAGTGGCCCCCATCAAAGCAGTTTCCTTTGAAAGTAGTACAGTCTTTAATGATTAGCCACTCTTTATTTTATAACAATTAATCAACACACACCAATTTAAAAAAAACAATATTTATTTAAGAATGGAAAATGTACTAAACGACCAGTGGGGAGAGAAGTCTTCTTGTCATGATGTTGATCAAGTCCTAAACAGATGGGTCCCTCAGGCTTTTAGCAGAAGCACATTTTACAACAGTCCAGTCCAGTGTCATACATATTCTCCACAATCTGAAATAATGATTTTCTGTTTAGGTTTTCCATCTTTGCTTCCTTGTGCCTTTTAAATGACAAATCCATAACATAAGCATTAGTAGATTTAACCTAAAAACATAAGTGAATCTTCCAAGATAACAAAATACCATTTCAAAGAAGTAAAGATAGGAAATCCAATGTGTTACAAAATATACATTATAAAAAAATACAAATATTCACCTCCATCTGACGCACCACATCCATTCCCTCCATAACTTCTCCAAACACTACATGTTTCCCGTCAAGCCAATCCGTCTTGTCACATGTGATGAAGAATTGGGATCCATTTGTATTTTGACCAGAATTTGCCATACAAAGCAAACCTTTCAAAAATAAAAACAAAATGATTAAAATGGAGCCAATCTTGTCCTTTTTTTCCTTCATACACTATTAACAAGAATGGTAAATGGAACTTATGAAAAAAGATCAGTAAACAATCTGAGAAATTTTTAAAAGAGAATGTTTGGGATTTCTCAGCCAATCCTTATTGGTCCCTCCCCACATCCTTCCAATTTAACACACACAGTACAATGTAGAAATTCCTTTGTCGTATATGGAAACAATGTGGTACAAGCTGACATTCACTTTTAATTTTAATACAAACCATTTCAACTTCACAGAAATCGAAACATTTACAAAAGGTTATCTTTTTCTTTGTCTACATGCTAGTAATGACTTTAAATAAGTAAACTGCAAGTCGCTGTTGAATACATATGCTTACATACCTGGTCCTGTGTGTTTCAGAATAAAGTTCTCATCATCAAACTTCCTTCCATAGATGGATTTCCCTCCTGTCCCATTGTGGTTTGTAAAGTCTCCTGCCTGACACATGAACTGTGGAATGACTCTGTGGAAACTGCTACCCTTGAAACCAAATCCCTTTTCATGAGTGCAGAGACAGCGGAAGTTTTCTGCATGGTAGAAAAATAATATACTTACTTACTACAACAATAAGAACTCAATGTCACAAAGCTTTCAAAAAGAACAAAAACATACCATCATTATGCATAAACCTACATATACATACCAGGGGCGGACTGACAACTCATGGGGCCTCCGGGCAATAAGGGATTGTGGGGCTAGTGTCCTCGCCCACACTCAAATCACACGCAAAAAAGTCTATGAAAAAGGGACATCTCATGGGGCCCCCTACTGACCCCGGGCCCTCGGGCAGTGCCTGAGTTCCCCAATGGTCAGTCCGCCCCTGATACATACATTTTCACAACATATAAAAGTACATGTATCAATACTCCCAAGGGTTCATGTGCACCTTTTCTATCAACCCCAAGAGTGGCTTCTACGTTTAAAAAAAAATAAATAAAAATTGAATTTTTAAAAACGTGGCTAGGGAACACCTTTTGAAGCAGAGAACAGCATGAAAAATGTGTTTGCACACAAGTATCCTATCATGTTACGCATGCATTGTCTGTGTGTTTGCCTTTAAATAATTTTGTCCTAACTCACTCTAAGCATGAGAAGAAAGGTTGGTCTAACTACATAGAGCATGTCCTAGCTACAGTCTCCATTCTCCATATGTACTTTATTCTGCTGGAGCTACACACTATTTGTTGACCTGATGTTCTGTTATGATCTGCACGAGTTTTGGATTAGAGCTTTCTTCGATCTGCAGAATGTCATTTGGATCGAGTCACTGTCTGCCAAGCTACTGAGACTAAGTTAAGCTATCTCAATACCAGTTATAGAGATCACACTTTCAGTGTTTAGAAGTGGAAGCAGAACATATTCAGCGTGTAGCGTATGTTGGGGTCTGAAAGACTATTTGCTGCCCCAAAATGACAATAAGTCAATTGAAATTACATCTCGATTTGTTCTGTTATTTGGAAGAGGGATTAAACCTCTAATTCCTAACCAGCGTAATTCTGTTTCCAGATATGCCTCTCACACTACAATAAATTATGTCCTATGAACTAGTGATGAGTATTACTTCAATTACACATTCAGGACTATCATTCAGGACACCAAAAGGCAAGGATGTGCCTTTGGTCAACAGCTGCCTCATTTAACAATGACATGTCATGTGAATAATATGTGGAATACCATTGCTGATCTCCTCTTGAAAATGCTAGCTGTCTTGCTGGAATCCTGTTTCAAACATGTTCTGAGTCAATGATAAGGGATGAGAGTCACACTCTGTTGTCTCTTAATATTTCTATGTTACAGCAGAAACGAGCTATAAAGAGCCAGCACTTGAGTGGTCCGTGGACGTCTGGAGATGGGGGTTTTGGAGCTTTGACCTGGATCTGGTCAGGAGTTCTACCTTCAAATGTCTTCTAAGTCAGAGACTGAAAAAGTATGAAATCTGGAAGATCAACACCACCAGCCAAGCAAATAAGTCTAGAAGAAAGGAGGGATGCCTAAGCACTATCACATGTCAGTACATGCTCTGCTGCTTCTCATTGGGAATGAAATGCTACAAAAAAATGCATTTTTTTGTAACAAGATCAAGAAGGAACCACTGATATTAGACAATAGACACTGTGTGGTACCCAAAAAGTAAATATGCTGTATATTATAAAAATGAACAAAATCTACAGCAAGCAATATCCCCTCAAAGACCATTTTTTTGTATAAAATGTAAAATCACTAATGAATACATTTCCTCATTAAAACCCCACCGTGCCGAGATTTTCCCTTGGCAAACATTTTTGACAAAGATTGGTAGTGAATTCACTATCCAACCATGGTGAAGCAAGCTGAAGAAGTGTGTGAGTGTGTGTGCGTGTGTGTATTACATACACCTACACACACACGGTAAAATAAGTATTGAACACGTCACCATTTATTTTTTCTAGGTAAATATATTTCCAAAGGTGCTATTGACATTAAATTTTCACTACATGGTTAGTAACAACCCATGCAATCCATACCTACAAAGAAACCAAAACAAATAAGTTCAGAAATTAAGTTATGTGTAATAAATTGGAATGGCACAGGGAAAAATATTAAACACATGAAGAAAGGGAGGTGCAAAAAGGCATGGAAAGCCAAGACACCAGCTGACATCTATCAGTAATTAGAAAGCAATCCTGCCCCTTGTCAGTGCAAATTAATATCAGCTGGTTCAGTCTCAACTGATGGCCTATAAAAAGGTGTCTCATTACCAAGGTGCCACACAAGAAACTTCTCATGATGGGTAACAGCAAAGAGCTCTCTCAAGACCTCTGCAACCTTATTGTTGCAAAACATACTGATGGCATTTGTTACAGAAGGATTTCTAAACTTCTGAATGTTCCAGTGAGCGCTGTTAGAGCCATAATCCGGAAGAGGAAAAAACATAATTTTACCACAAACCGGCAACGGCCAGGTGCTCCTCACAAGATTTCTGACAGAGGAGTGAAAAGAATTATCAGAAGAGTTGTCCAAGAACCAAGGAGCACTTGTGGAGAGCTTCAGACAGGTACAATTGTTTCAAAGAAAACAATAAGTAATGCACTCAACCACCATGGCCTGTATACAAGCTCACCACGCAAGACTCCACTGCTGAAGAAAAAGTATTATTATTATACAGGATTTATATAGCGCCAACGGTTTGCTCAGCGCTTTACATTATAGGATGTTGAAACTCATTGAAAGTTTGCTGCACAACATTAAGACAAGCCTGTGAAATACTGGGAGAATATAGTCTGGTCAGATGAGACCAAAATTGACCTCTGTGGTTGCCATAATACACACCATGTTTGGAGGTCAAATGGCAATGCACAGCACCCCAAAAACACCATACCAACAGTGAAGTTTGGAGGTGCGAACATCATAGTGTACGGCTGTTTTCAGCATATGGTACTGGCAAACTTCATATCATTGAAGGAAGGATGAATGGAAAAATATACCAAGACATTCTTGATAAACATCTGCTGCCATCTTCCAGGATGATGAAGATGGAACGAGGGTAGACCTTTCAGCAAAACGATGATCCCAAAACACAAAGCCAAGGAAACTCTCAAGTGGTTTCAAAGAAAGAAAATAGAGCTGCTAGAATGGCACAGCCAATTACCAAAATCTATGGAAAGAACTAAAAGATCAGAGTTCATAGAAGAGGCCCACGGAGCCTTCAAGATTTGAAGACTATTTGTGTGGAGGAATGGGCAAAAATCACACCAGAGCAACGCATGCGACTAGCTTCTCCATACAGGAGGCATCTAGAAACTGTTATTACCAACAAAGGATTTTGTACAAAATATTAAATACATTTCAATTAGCGCGTTCAATACTTTTTCCCGATGTCATTCCATTTTATCACACGACCTAATTTCTGAACTTTTTGTTTTGGCTTCTTTGTATGTATGGATTGCATGGGTTGTTACCAATATGTGGTGAAAATTTAACGTCAATAGCACCTTTAGAAATATACACTAGATTGCCGAAAGTAATCAAGCACCTAGGCATGCAGACTGCTTCTACAAACATTTGTGAAAGAATGGGTCACTCTCAGGAGCTCAGTGAATTCAAGTGTGCCACTTGTGCAATAAGTCCATCCATGAAATTTCCTTGCTACTAAATATTTCAAGCTCAACTGTTAGTGGTATTATAACAAAGTGGAAGCAACTGGGAATAAGAGCAACTCCCAGGCCACATAAAATGACAGAGCGGGGTTAGCACATGCTGATGCGCACAGTGCACAGAAGTCGCCAACTGTCTGCAGAATCAAAAGCTAAAGACCTCCTCGTATGCAGTGGTGTAAAGCACGCCACCACTTGATTCTAGAGCAGTTTAGACGTGTTCTCTGGAGTGACAAATCACACTTCGCAACCTTGGCAACCTGATGGACGTGTCTGGGTTTGGTGGGATTGCCAGGAGAACAGTACTTGCCTGACTGCAATGTGCCAAGTGTAAAGTTTGGTGGAGGGGGGGGGGGGATTATGGTGTGGGGTTGTTTTTCAGGGGTTGGGCTTGGCCCCTTAGTTCCAGTGAAGGAAACGCTTAAGGCATCAGCATACCAAGATATTTTAGACAATTTCATGCTCCGAACTTTGTGGGAACAGTTTGTGGATGGCCCCTTCCTGTTCCAACATGACTGCACACCAGTGCACAAAGCAAGGTCCATAGAGACATGAATGAGCGAGTTCATGGTGGAGGAACTTGACTGGCCTGCACAGAGTCATGACCTCCATAAAGACATGGATGTGCAAGTTTGGGGTCCTGACCTCAACCTGATAGAACACCATTGGGATGAATTAGAGCGGAGACTGTGAGCCAGGCCTTCTCATCCAACATCAGTGCCTGACCTCACAAATGCACTTCTGGAAGAATGGTCAAACATTCCCATAGACACACTCCTAAACCTTGTGGACAGCCTTCCCAGAAAAAATTTAAGCTGTTATAGCTGCAAACAGTGAACCCTATAGACTACGACTGGTATGCCATCAATGTCCATGTGCGTGTAAATGCAGGCATTCCAATACTCTTGGCAATATAGTGTAGTTACTGAAAAAAATGGTGATATGTTCAATACTTATTTTAATATAGACAGACAGACACACACTAACCCAGTGCAACCGATGCATTCAAACCTACGTGAATATACGTTCTATTAAGTTGGACAACATCAAGTGTAAATATATACAGTGTCATAGAAGCGTGAATTACTATACAACCAAAATAACACTGCTCCCTATAGGCATTCCAATAGCTCATAAAGTTTCCAGGGCTGACCTTCAAACATCAGTGGAGTGGATACTGATATCACCCAATGATAGTCTCCACATAACAGGTGACTCCAGATGAAAAGAGTAATCAGTTACCATGAACAGTAGCAAATTCCAGATAGACATTCTGAAGGGTAAGTTCCACTGGATGTTCTCAGCTGTGGAATATAGTGCACACACGCACTTTGTACTCTCTTCTATTTACTTTTATTCTTCTTTGCTGCTCTCATAATGTATCTTTCCTGTATCATACCTTCAGTTTTCCTCTTCCCTCTTCTGTTAAATACCCTCCAAAGAGTTTTACTCATCACATCTTCTTTAGAATTGATTTCACTAACTGCATGCTGTTTCACGAACTGTTGTGGGAATATATAGACTGGAAGGTTTGATGTGGAAAACGGTTTCTTCTATAGCTTAATGGAATTGTCAGGCTTTGGAATACACCCCATTTCCAATTGTAATTTGAAAAACAAAAAACCCCCAACCATTTTTCTGCAACCCAGTTCCTGTGTTTTTCTGCATAGTTGAGTCTCTTAGCCTTGTTTCCATGTCCTATGCATGAAAACATAGGAACTGGGGTGCAGAAAAATGGCACCAGGTGCTCTGGACTGATGTGCCAAAATTTGAAATATTTGGCTGTAGCAGGAGGCAGATTGTTCGCCAAAGGGCTGGAGGGTGGTACAATAATGAGTGTCTGCAAGCAACAGTAAAGCATGCTGGAAGTTCCTTACAAATCTGAGGCTGCACTTCTGTAAATAGAGTTGGAGATTTGGTCAGGAGCAATGGTGTCCTCAATGCTGAGAAATACAGGTAGACACTTATTCATCATGCCATACCATCAGGGAGGTGTGCGATTAGCCCCAAATATATTCTGCAGCAGGACAACAAATCCAGTCATGCAGCCAATGTCATTAAGAAGTATCTTCAGTGTTTAAATGAACAAGGAGTCCTGGAAGTGATGGTCTGGCTCCCACAGAGCCCTGATCTCAACATCATGGACTCTGTCTTGCATTACAGAAAGACGGAAGATCTGAGGCAGCCTAAATCCACAGATCTATGGTTAGTCCTCCAAGATGTCTGGAACAACCTACCTGCTGAGTTGCTTCAAAAACTGAGCAAGCCTACCTAGAAATATTGATGCTGTTTTGAATGAAAGAAAAAGGGTGGTCACACCAAATACTTATATAATCATTTACTTTCCATTTTGTTAATTGCTAAAAAATAAACTATTAACACTTCCATTTCTAAAAGCATTCCTAATTTAAAGTATTTTTTCACACCTGCAAAAGACTTTGCACAGTACCGTATATCTATCTATCGGCGCGCGCGCACACGCACACACACACACACACACAGATTGTATAGGTTATGTGAGCTTTCTTAGCTGCTATACCCGTCCTATTATATGAACACATTTTTATACCTCAAATGCCATGTACGGGTAAGGAGGGGGTGGTCAAGATGGGGTGGGAGGCCAAAGGCTCCTGCTGCAGTCAGTTAAATCCTGTGAGGAGGGAGCAGGGGGCATGGGTGAGCCAGGAGTGCGCCCACACGAGTGCCCCCACAGCAGCCGGTTTACTGAGGGGCCACTCATAAGAAAGAGGGGAGAGCAGTGGCAGGGGACTCCTAAATAAGAGGTAAGGGATCCCTTCATACCATATTAATGCACTGAGAAGGTAAATATAAGCTTTTTGTAAATGTTAATTATATAAAAAAAGAAAGCCTTTAGAACCACCTTAATTCATGCACAATATCTCTATTGGTGATCACAGTGGATGTGTGCAAATGTCTAACCAGTTTTGTCAGTCATACTCGGTTTCATCAGAGACCACCCCTGAAAGTCTGGTACATTTCTTCTTATGCTATGGATTGCTTTTCCACATTTTCTTACTAATATCTTTGCCATTTTTAGCTGTGCTACTGAATCCCTGCTACACACTTTATATTTTAACTATAGGCTCAATCTGTGCATTACACAGAGCAGGATTTTACAAAAGAGAATGATGTTTAATGTCATGATTTGTGTGCATCTATAAAACATCTCATTCAGGAGCTTACCTACTGTCATTGGAACAACATCAGCACGCAGTAAAAATCTGATACGCCCAGCAGGCTTGTTTCCGATTTTGATGTCCATATAAACTTGAGGATTGGCTCTAACTTTTTTAGTGGGTGGCTCTCCCTATATAAAAGATAAATTGTGTACAGTAGCACAGAAATGCATAATAAATTGAAATACTAAAAGATTTGAGAAAATTACAAATTTTTTGCAAATAAATCCAAACAAATGCTGAAAAAAGTAAACAGATTTGACGGTAACTGTCAGTAAAAACCTTGCAAAATAATCAGTGACCCCAGAGATATGGCAAGTTGAAGATGCTGCAAATCTTGACATCCCCTATAAGTACAGATTTCCTGCAAAATCCACTTCTCCCCCCATACATGCCTAATTTCAGAGAGGTTGTCTTTCACATTAAAGGGCAATGGGAGGCTTGGTGGAAAGAGGGGGTAGAGCCAAGTTCTAATTACAGAAAAATAAGACATTTACATAGAATTATGGCTCCCTGGATTGGAGGAGCTACTGAGGTCATCATTAGGATTTGCAGTTTTCACTGAAAGTGTCGTTTGCATTTTATATAACTGTATTAGAAGTTAAAATTGTTCTGGTTCGTGATCTGAAATGTGGGGGAAATAATTTAGATAACACTAATAAGACATATAATGTATTAATACCTGACTGTAAATTTAAAGTGTTACCTCATGTGCTGTTGGTTTGGCTGCTTCTGTCCCATCAGCCTCTTCATTTTCTTCTAGTGTTTTTCCAGAGAATTTCTTGAGCCAGTCATCATCAGACCACACTAACAGCAATTTAGAGAACACAGCTTAAGAAGGTCTTGTAGTAGTAGTAGTAGTAGTAGTAGTAATAAAAAAACAGAAGGACAGAGAAAAAAAAAACCCACAACTGCACACCTGTATTTTAAAAAAGTGTTTTCTTCTAGTACAGGTTAAAAAATAAAATATTGGACTATTTGTGGGGGCAAGTCTGCACAGTTTTCCTCTACTATTCCTTTGCTCAATCAAACCTCTTCTTCTTTCTTTTACTAGATGACTGTTTATTGTGCACTGCTATGGAGACTTGAACTTAGGGACACAGTTTGCTATGGGTTTTTCCTTTTGGAAAATAAACAAGGTAGTTATACAGGATAGTTAATAGTTTATGGTCCAAATTACACAGAAATGACATGGACTTTATGTTGAGCTCCACTTAGTGGTACCAAATGGGCAAAACAACCAGGGGTTCCATAAATCTTGTATTGCATGCTGGTCTTTATTTTGTGATAAAGTATGCTGGTGTTTATGTATCAGTTGCTTCTACACTCTCCCTACTATATCTCACACAAGCCTTTGCCTTAAGTGACTGTTTGTAACCTTTGCTTTAGTAAAACAATAACTAGTGGAAAAGAAGATATTGAACCCCGATACACATTCATGTAAACTAACCTGCTTTAGAAGAACCTTCCTTTAATCGCATGGGTTTTGCCAAATTTACTCGTATTGTTCTTCCAAATAATTCTGATTCATTCTAGTGATAAAAGTCAGCATGAGCAAATGAAATTGATAAAATAATATAAAAATACTGTAATTTGCAGCCACCGATTACATTCATAAATATATTGAAAGTTTCATAGAAACAGCTCTGTAAGTAAAGGAATGGTTTCATATAGAGATGCTTTGTTCAATGGATCCACTTATTATAATATACATGTTCACAGCACCATCTAGAGGCTTATGGTAAGTATTACACATTATACAGACTGGCCATACACTGTTAGTATTTTGGCAGAATCAGATGACTCCAACAATGGTCTGCCCCCTGCTGGCTCAACTGCTGTTGCAAGAGTCAGGCCATATTCTATTCTTTCATTCAACCTATCTAAAACGGTTTACATTAACCTTCCTTTTAGCATTTTTTTTTTTTTTTTTTCAGTTGCACACAAAAAGATTTGTAAAGTCTATTGTCAGTAGCAAAGTAATATTGCATACAGACGTGTGAGATTTGCTCAAGCTTTACAAAACATTGTTTTCACTTAAATAACAAAATACTAAGAATCATTCTAGTTGGCAAGTTGTACACAATAACAAATGTAAGTACCAGTCCACACCAGAAAGCGGTCTGGGAAATCCGCGTCCCATGCGCGTTTTCCGCACCACATTCAAAACGCACTTCAGTTGCAATCTGCAGCAGGTGTCAATGGTAAGGTAATGACACCCCTGAAGCAGTGCATTTGCTTGCACCAGATCACACGGTACAGAGGTACCACGCAATCCGGCTGCAGTGTGTTTTTTAAAGTAGTGCATGCACTACTTTTGGTGCAATCCAGTGTGATTCAGTCCATTCAAAATGAATAGGCTCAAATCAACACCACATGGGAATCACACGGGAATGCGCAGTGTATTCCTCTGTGATTCCTGGTGTGAACCGGCCCTGAGGGTGGTTAGTTTCAACCGCCAAGGAGCATATCACCAATTCTGAGTATAAAGTGCACAATCACTACTTGTATCTCCATTAGTCACTGAGTTTCTAAACTAGACTAGTCACCCCAAGGGTACAGAAAAACACTAACTCTAGAAGCCTATGGAGAATCAGTTGAGGAGGAGCAAGCCCCAGAGTATCTAACCAGCTTTTCCATATAGACATACATTTCTTTGGGGAGTTGCAATACTGATAGGTTATTTTTTCACATATCAAAGTAGAGTTCACCTGCTCAATCCCTTGCTGTATAGCAGGGGTATGAGCGGATAACCAAAAACGTGCTCACTTAATGGGCAATGACATGTAGTTTCATCACTGCAATACAGCTACAGGGTGTATACATTTCCCCATCTAAAGAACCCAGGAGGCATAAAACAAGATTTTGAGGTATAATATAGTATTATGATATTGTATTAAGAATGTAATTCCAATATCTACCTAATGTTTCGGAGATGTCCAACATAAGTATTAAATCTATATCTCTGTTACATTTGAGGAACAGGGGGGAATCTCTTCTAGCCCATCTGTACAAATGTAGCCAGGGTTCCTATATGCTCTATGCTAAAAAAAATAAGTAGGATAGTTTCTGCGAGGAGGATAAAACAAAACAAAAAAAAAATAAAGGGTACCGATGTCAAAACTGCCTCCCACCTTTCCCCACCCATCTCACCAATATCCAGCTCCCATTCTCTCAGGACGTTAAATGGGCAGTATCCAGGGTGAGAGTCAAGAGGTTAGTATATATATTCGAGAAATCATACCTTCCCCTAGGGTTCCTCCAGGGGTGGATAGGGGTTCCCTGAGCTGTAGTTAACTGACCTCCCATCTGGTGATCCCATTTATAATTCCAGGTCCTTCACTACTTGGCAGAGCCAGCAGCATGACTGCAAGGGTATCTTTCTGGCCATCCACATACCACCACCAATGTTGTGGGGCATTTTACCAAAGACCCCCAGTAGACTAATCTTACCAGAGGTTGCCCGAGACCTGAAAATTATTTCAAAAGTTCCTCTATGGTAAAAAGGTTGAGAAAGACTGCTCTAGAGACAGTATTGACACAAAACTAAAAATGCAACATACAAAAAAATTCATTAAACCCTAGGGCTCCTCCAGAGGTTGCTAGGGATTCATTAAACAGTGGCTAATTGACTTCCCCACTTGATGGTGCCTGCATAGCTCCAGGATCAAAGCCACTTGGCAAAGCAAGTAGTGTGACACCAATTATCATTTGAGGTGTCTGCAGGGTGGCATTCTCACCACCACCATAAGGGGCATTCTATTAGCCATGGATATAAGGGGCATTTTTGCCATTGAATTGGGCTGCTGAATAAGTTATTTTGTTTGCTACTTGTCCCACTTCTGGGAAAATTTCAAATTACTTCCTGTGCTGGAGATGCAGCAGTAAATGAGAGAAAAGCCCTCCAAATGTAATGGCATTCCAAACTTAGAGGTTTATCTCCTGAACCCATGTCCCCATTGAATTTCATACAAGGCTTTGCTGATAATGCAAAATATTTGGATTTCTCCTTGCTTTCCATCTGGTACTAAATATCACCAGGACAAATATAGGGGTGGACCTCCCCAGTGGGAACACAGACAGCAGTAAAAATTGACAAAAGTCTGTGGCTTTACATACACTTTGGGTTGTATTCAAATTACATAATCTTCGATGAAACTAGTAGGGCAGAAACAGAACACACCCCACTGAGCATACACAATCCCGCCGTGGCCAACTTGGATTGATACACAAGCGCTGGTTGACCACTTTTAATTGGGGCGGTCATATGATTCTGGTAAGCCTCCCTCTGCTGTACACTGAGGTGCTGTGTGGTTTATTATTAAGAAGTTTGGGGGCGTTCGGTATTCACATCTGTCATTTTCTTCATAATTGAAGTACCACTGAATTCACAGTTTTTGGCTTCGCATTTGGATTCCTTTGTTTTATTTTTTCAATTTGTGGTGACACACAAGAGTGATATTTGCATTGCACAAACATTTATCTTAGGGCTGCACTATTGTTTTGTGATTCAAAATGTCAGACATCCCTCACGTGATAGATTCAAATTGTAAATGCTACAGTAAATGGTTCCACGATGCAGCGGATAGAAAAATATTTAGTTATGCACTACAGATTTATTCTGTACAATGTTAAAGCCAAAGTATTTTTTAGGGTTTATTCTTAAAAAGGCAATCAGTGCTACCTAAACCAGTAATATAACCGAAGTAGTCCATACCATGTTATCAATAGCTGCAGCAGCATCCTGCAACATAAAAAAAAAAGTTAAATCAATAACCATTACGTGTAGGGCTGAAACAGCTAATCAATATAATTGATTATAATCGATTATGAAAATAGTTGTCAACTATTTTCTTAATCGATTAGTTGGTCAGCCAATTAGTTGAGCTGCATACAGAATGCATTATTTGTTTACATATCAGAAAATACAGTGCAGCCCCACATACAGCTCAGTACACTGTTCATACAAGTCAGCATACATAGTGCAACACACGTACAGCTCAGTACACTGTTCATACAAGTCAGCATACATAGTGCAACACACGTACAGCTCAGTACACTGTTCATACATGTCAGCATACATAGTGCAACACACGTACAGCTCAGCTCAGTACACTGTTCATACATGTCAGCATACATAGTGCAACACACGGTTCATACATGTCAGTAAGTGCATGAGAACATGTGAATGTGTGAGGAGCAATGTCTTGTGGGGCAAGTAGTCCTGGGCAGGAGAAGGAAGTGATTCTAAAAAGGCAAAAGTTTTTTTTTTATCTTGCTATACGGGCACTCTACACTATACTTTGTAGCTTGTTATAGAGGCACTCTGAAGGCAGAAGGAGCTAGAAGCGTCAGTGGGGGACCCCAAAAGAGGAGAATCAGGGCTGCCCTGTGCAAACCATTGCACAGAGCAGGTAAGTATGACAAGTTTGATGTTAACCATTTGCCCAGTGGTTTTAACCCCCTTCCAGTCCATTTTGTGCGATACAGCGCTGCACTGAAAGTTGAGTGGTTATGCAATGCTGCACCCAAATGAAATTTGCGTCCTTTTTTTCCCACAGATAGAGCTTTCTTTCTGTGGTATTTGATCGCCAGTGCGGTTTTAATTTTTTTGCATTCTAAACAAAAAAAAGACCAACCGAAAAAAAAACCCACAATATTTTTGACTTTTTGCTATTACACATGTCCAGTAAAAAAATAAAATTTCATGATAAATTTAGGCCAAAATGTATTCTGCTACATCTTTGGTTTACGCAACAGGTATAGTGTTTACAAATGGCGGTATGTATACTGGAAACTTTTTCTTTTTTTTTACTAGTAATTGCGGCAATCAGCAACTTATAGTGGGACTGCGGCGGGCATTCTGACATTGGGTAGAACTGACTTGGTGTCACTGACATCCCTAGTGACCCCAATACAGTGATCCATGCAAATAAAAAGCACTGACACTGTACTACTGGCACTGGGCAGGAAGGGGTTTAACATGTAGGGCGACCAAAGGGTGAACTGTGTGCTGTTTTACTATGTGGGCTCTGTGTCTTTTACACTGTAAGAACATTGCTCTGCTATGCAGAGCCATACAAAGCAGTGTGCAGGAGCTGACAGGGTAGAGATCAGTATTGTTTACATACAGGTCTCTCCCCCATCGGAAATCCTTGGAGATTACCCGCTGGGATCCGGTGATTGACAGGCGTGCGCCCCATACCTGGAACTGCAAAATCACATACACATATATACACATAAAAATAAATTATATATATATACAGTGGGGCAAAAAAGTATTTAGTCAGCCACCAATTGTGCAAGTTCTGCCACCTAAAAAGATGAGAGAGGCCTGTAATTGGCATCATAGGTAGACCTCAACTATGAGAGACAAAATGAGAAAAAAATCCAGACAATCACATTGGCTGATTTGGAAAGAATTTATTTGCAAATTATGGTGGAAAATAAGTATTTGGTCACCTACAAACAAGCAAGATTTCTGGCTCTCACAGACCTGTACCTTCTTCTTTAAGAGGCTCCTCTGTCCTGCA